CATTTTTGTAAAAATTACTTTTTAAAAACAAATAATTTTTTTTTCTTAAACTATTGATTTTAATTAATTTGTGAAAAAATTACTTCCTGAAAATAAATAAAAATAAATGATTTTTTTTCTTTTACCACTAATAATTTCAATTAATTTATAGGAAATTATTAAATATCATTAATTAATTTATAAATGAATAAATTTATTATAATTTTGAGTAGCATTGCTAGCATTTTGCACCAAAATATATATTTGTTATTTCTATTTATTTCATTTTTATCACATTTTTCTTTCTTTTTTTTAAAGCATATAAAATAGAAAAATTATAATCTCAGAATTATATGTAGAATGAAATTTAAATAAATATCAATTTGGGAAATGGAAATTTTTTTTTTTTTTTAAATATTATTTAAATGTTTGTTACAATATAATAAACCTTTGGGGAATTTTGTCTTGTCTTTCTTTTTTTTTTCTTGTTGAAAATGAATGAAATTAAATTTACAAATGAATGCAAAAAAAGTAAGTAAGTAAGTAAGTAAAAATAAACCAATTAAAATGATTAATGTTTGACAACAGAAAAAAAAAATTGAATAATAATATTAACAAATATTTATTAATAAAAATAAATAAATAAATGAAATATTTTTGCATAAATTATTATTAAAATGGTAGGAATTATTTTTATTGATTATATTTAATTATATAATTTTTATTGATAATAAATGATTAATAATTGATTACGTATAGTGATAAGTAATGATTTAAACGAAATGTAAATAATATGCAATTGCTGTCGAAATTGAATTTAACTATTAAAATATAATTAATGTATTTTTAATTTGTATATTACTTCAAAAAAAAAAAAAAATAATATTCGAGCATTTTTTTCATAAAAAAAGTATAAATAATAGAGCAAATCATAAATGAGAAAAATTCATATAAAATTTATTGAAATTTGACTTTTCTTTTTAATAAGTGAAAAATTTCTTTTTCATATCTTTATATAAATTTTTTTTTTTTTAAATTAAATAATATATAAATTAAAATTAAGCTTGAAACTTAAACAAATCAATTATGTTTTTTCGAAGAAAATTGAAGGAAAACGTTCAATGATTATTATCGTAGTAATAAATAACTTAATTTAATATATTTTATTATCTCATTCAAAAAAAAAAGAAAAAAATTGATTTCATTAATTTAAACAAAAAAAAAAAAAAAAAGAAATGTAAAACAAAAATGTATGTTAGCCAACTAAAGAAGTGAATTTATTACTAATTCGAAAGGATACAAATAGGCCAAAAAATACTATTAGGCTCATATGGAAGCAATTATTGGCCATATGACTGACTAAATCGATCATTCATTTCTAGTAGTCCATTTTATGATGCATTTTTTGCCTCTTATTGGTAGCATTCTTTCAACAATTTTATTCAAAAAAGAAAAAAAATTTTTTTAAAAAATACAAATTTTAGTAAAAATATATGAAAATTATTGTATAATAATTACAATTTGTTATGATTATAATAGAAATAAATTAATTTTTTCTTTTTTTGAATTTAATTTACTCAGAATAAAATCTTTTTTTTTTTTTTTTTTTTGAGTATATTTTTATTTTGAAGAAATTAAAATCAAAATATCAAATCTATTTTATTTAACCATTTTTTCTTATAAAAAAAAAAAAAAAAAAAATAGTTTAATTTGAGAAATAAAAGAAAAAAGCAACAATATTTTTTTCTTGGCAAATATTCTTGATTGATTTTAGCAAAATGGTTTAAAACATAAAATTAGAAAAAAAAACAATTTTTTTTTTGTTTGCACGTTTGATTGATTAGAAAAATTAAAAAAGAAGAAAAAAAAACCGCAATATAAGATCGTAAACCGGAAAAAAAAAACCGGAAAATTGTTAGCATCTAAATTCTTAACTCGTCGCATTCAAATGCTTCTTTACATTATGATCATCATTATCATCATTACTGCTACCATCATTATATTATTATTATTATCACTGTTATCATCATTATGATTATTATCATCATGATATTAACATTATCATTCTTACCATCATTAGACTATCGTTACCATTGTTATAATCATTATACTATCTTATCACCACCATTGTTATCATTATTATCGCTATCACCGTTATCGTCACTATATTATCATTATCATTGTTATCATCATTATATTGTCGTTATCATCGCTATCATCATTATATTAATGTTATCATCATTATTATCACTAAATCATTATTATCATTATTACCACTATACTATTATCATCGTTGTTATCACTAAATTATCATTATTAACATTATTATCACTATGCTATCATTATCATCGTTATCATCATTATATTAATGTTATCATCGTTATTATCACTAAATTATCATTATTATCGCTGTACTATATTATCATCGTTATATTATTGTTATCATCGTTGTTATCACTAAATTATCATTATTAACATTATTATCACTATACCATCATTATCATCGTTATCATCATTATATTATCATTTTTCCAATAAATCATAAAATCAATGTTATACACAGCATTAGATATACATAAGAGAGAAATGATTAATGGAAAGATGATTTGATCTATCAGTGATAGATGAGAGATAGTGATAACATAGTTACCTATTTTATGAGCACTAAAATAAGCTGATATTATCAAATTTGATTCATTCACTTATTTCTATATTAAATATAGAAATTACTTTTTAAATTTTTACATAATATATGCGATAATAAAAAAACAAAAAAATGTAATTAGAAGATAAAATGAATTTTCATTAATATATTTCAATAAATTACAATTAAAAAAAAAAAACAAAAATAAAAGTAAAAAGAAGAAAGTAAGTTGTTAGGAAAAATAAAATTAAAATAATTAATAAATTGGATTAATTTATTATAATATAAAAAAAAAGAAAAAAAAACTAATGTCTCAGAATTGGAGCAAAAAATATTTAAATAATAGAAATACTATAATTAATTACAAACTACAAATTTTATAATTTTTATAACTGCAAAGATTAGAATTTATTTATTTATTTTTTTTGATTACAAAAAGAAAAAATTAGATGAAATTTGATATAATGTAAAATAATGGATTAAAGTTACTTCAAAAAAAAAAAAAAAAAAACTCAATGATTGATTGATTAATCAAATAATTTTTTTTTCTTTTTTTTTTTATTATTAATTAAAATTTTTTTTTTAGTAATTTAAAAAATTTTGATTAATCAATTTTTATGGAATTAACCATTTTCAAATATAGCAAATAAAGAGAGAAAAAATGAAAATAAGATGAATTTTCATTTAATAAAAAAAAAAGACTCTGAGACTGTAAAAAAAGAATTTTAGGAAAGAAAAATATGTGACTTGAAAAAGAGACAATAAAATATTGCATATGGAAACCGGAAAAAAAGGGTGGAAATAAAAAGATGACAAAATCTGAATGCTATATAAAAACCGGATGCTATCATGAAAATCTATCAAGTATTATATTTCCGGTATAAATTAATGAATTTTTTTTTTTTTTTAGGAAATGCAAATGTAATAAATATTAAAACGAATTTTTATGGATGAAATAATTTCATTCCGCATTCAATCATAATAACATAATTGAATTAATTTTAAGACAAAATTGCAATATCATTTCAAAAATTTTGTAATTGAAATTTGTGAAAAGGAAAAAAAAATTTTTTCATATTTTGCTAAATAAATTACAGAAGGATTATTGAAGAAACGATGAATTTATTTGATATATTTTATAATTTATGGATGATATTAATTAGAAAAGATTCAAAATATCTTAGTGAAACTTTTATTTTGAAAAAAAAAAGAAAATAATTAAATTTGCATAAATAAATTTTTGCAATATAATTAAATTTTTTTTTTTTTTTTGCAAAAAAGAATTAATAAATAATCAATATTTTCATCAGATAATTCATATAATAATACTAAAATTCACCACTAACTTCCATTTCAATAATATGTAAACATTCAAGATTTAAAATTTTTTTAGATTTTAAAAGCTAAAAAAGTTTTTCTTTTTTCTCATTTACTATTATAATTTTTCAAAAGAGATATTTTACTTTATAAAATTGAATAAAATATCATTAATTTCTGAGTGAGAAAAAAAAATTGGAATTAAAATTAATTGTTGAAAAAAACAAAAAAAAAAAAAAAAAAACTGAATAACAGGAATGAATTTAGATAAAAATAATAGAAAATTTATGCGTTAATCTATTTTGAAATATTCGTTAAAAAAAAAAAAAAAGAAAAAATGAAATTATAATAATATTTAATTCATACATACATATCATCAACCAATGAAACCAATCAACCAACCACTGAAACAACCATCAATTACCAATATTATCATTTAATATTAGTTCACACACACAAACCAATCAACCACCAACTACTACCACCAACCATTTATTTGCAAACATTCGTTGAAATTAAATTTTAAATTTTAATCAATATGTATTAATAATCTACACACATGCATAAAATATATATCGACACACACATACATACATACATACACACTTCATGTACCAATAAGTCAACCAAGCAACCAGTCAACCATCATCATTGTATCATTCGTTAAGGAATTAAAACATAATATTGGAAATTAAAATGTAATACTGAAATATAATATGTACTATATACATATACCATTTATCAACTAACCAATTAACCATCAACATCATCATCGTCATCACACCATTTATCAAGCAATCAACCAATAAACAACCAATTATCATCATCAGATCACATCATTTCAATTAAGAAATTAAAATTTAATATCAAAATGTAATATGTAATATCATTTATCAAGCAAGCAATCAATCAATCAACTATCATCATCACGTCATTTCGTCAACGAAATAAAATAGAAATTAAAATATAGTATAGTAAAATATAATATGTAATATCATCTATCAGCAAATCAACCAAGCAACCAAACCAACCAACCACCATCACCATCGACATACCACTATTATTTCCACAATGACCAGCACCCTATCATCACCATCATCATCATAACCATCACCACTATCATTACCATCATCATCATAATTATCATAATCATCACCATCATTACCATAATCATCATAATCATTACCATCACCACCATCATCATCGGCATCATCATCACAACCACCATCATCATCACCACCATCATCATCACCACCATCATCGTCACCACCATCATCATCACCACCATCATCACCACCATCATCACCATCATCATCACCACCATCATCACCATCATCATCACCATCATCATCACCACCATCATCATCATCATCACCATCATCACCAACATCACCATCATCATCATCACCATCATCATCACCACCATCATCATCACCACCATCATCATCAACATCATCATCATCATCATCATCATCATCAAAACTAACTGTACCGTTCAATCGCCACAAACAATACAAAATGTTTTCGCTACTTCTCCTCCTTCCCTTCCTTCCTACCCTCTATCAGTTCCATAATTTTTTCTACATTTATCTCTCTCAAACATTTGCTAATGCTAATGCTATTATTTCTCATCTGTTCCATTAAGCCATGTGTGTTGTCTATGTAATAGCTCATTAATAAAGTAATTTGAAACTCTTCCACATTACAAAAAGAAAGAGAGAGAGAGAGAGAGAGAAAGAAAAAAAGGAAAAAAAATCTTGAATTAAAGAAAAATGAAAAGGAAATAATAATAATAATAATAAAGAAAAAGAAAATGAGATAAGATATTGACGTCAATTGATATAATTCTTTTTTTTTAATTCCTGTAATGGTATCCTAAAATATAAATAAAATAAAAAGAAAAAAAAGAGAAAAACATTTTTATTCATATAAAATTTTAATTTTCAATTATACGAAGAAATTGTTTATTTATGAAATAAACGAAGAAATTGTTTTTTTTTTTTTTTTTTTTAAAAATGGTTATGAAAAATTAGTTTAAAATATTATTCTATAAAGTGTTTATTATATTAAGTTTTTTTTTTCTAGCTGTTGATTTGATTAATATTCTTTATTTTAAATATTTTGAAATAATTTTAAACAATATCATTTGAACTTTTCTTTCTTTCAATTTTTTTTTGAAGTGCTAAAAAAAAGTTTTTTTTTTTAAAATAAAGTTTTAAATGAAACAAAAATAAAAATAAAATAATGGAGAAAAAAATTTATGAATGATTTTTGTAGTTATAGAATCTCTTTTCCCTCCTCTTTTCCTCTTTCTTCTTTCTCTCTCTCTCTCTCTCTCTCTCTTTCCATCTTTCCAATAAAAAAAAAAAAAGTGCTACGAATATATAATTTAACAAATGCAATCACCCAATTTGATAAATGAATGTGATGAATTAAAATTGTATTCAAATGACTGACTGATTAAATAAATTAAAAATGAGAGAAAAGAAAGGGAGAGAGAGAGAGAGAGAGAGAAAAAAATATGATGACGAATGATATAATCATAATTTTCAATTTTTTTTCCTTTTGCTTTTTTTTTTAAAAAAAAAAATTAAACATAAATTTCAAATGAAGCAAAGAATGAATTTTCATAGAAAAAAAGAAGAAAAGAAAAGAGAAAGAATCGGCAAAAATTAAATCGTACTGTCAAAATAAATTTATTGAATTATTTTGATATTTTCAAATTATCATCATATACTTTCTTATCATTAAACAAAAAAAAAAAAATTTTTGTTATTAAACAAAAAAAATGAAAGAAAGAAAGAGATAAGTAAATATATAAATTATTATAATTTCAGCAAAAGAAAAAAAAAGTAAAAGAAATAACTTCGTTTATTTTTTTTTTCTTCGTCATAATTTTACTAAATTTAATAATGATTATAATTTTACTGAATTTAAATAAATAGAAATTACGATTGAAATATTTGTAAATTAATCATAAATGATTTTAAAATTATTCCAACCAGTAATAAAATTATTGCATTTTAATGGTGAGAAATATTAAATGTATCTTTTTGTCGCTCATTGGAAATATGTTAATAATTTTTTTTTATTACAAAAAAAAATGTTTTTTTTTTTTTTTGAATTTTTCCTTTTTGTTTAAGTTTAAAGTATTTGCAAAAAGATTTTCAAATAAGTCACACCTTTTTTAAAATAATTTATATAATTTGCAAAAATTATTTTATAGCATCATAAAATTACCATATGCTATTTCTTTTTTTTAAAATATATAAATATATTTGATATATTCTAGAATTGCTTTATGCGCAAATGAATGAGAATGATGGAATAATTATTGAAAGAAAATTTTGATTAAGCAAAAATGGAAGTATAAAAAAAAAAAAGAAATGAAATATATAAAAATCAAAAAAAATTTATTTCAATTTTTTTGCTATATATTCTAGCGTAATTATTTTATTATATTTTAATCGAATATATATATATATAAAATAAAATAATACTTTTAATGTTAGCAATTAATAACTGAATAATTTTTTAAATTAACCTGAATTAGTTTTGGTATTTTTTATTTTTTATTTTTCATTTTTTTTTTTGCATCTTAGTTAATATTACTTAAATAAAAATAATATTTCTTCCGTTTTTCCAATTAACATTATCAATTAAAATCATATTTCTTGGCACATTACTAAATTAAATTCATATTTCTTTACTCTTTTTTTTTTGTTTCATTAAATGATTAAATATTTTAATTAAAGCTACAAAATTATATATTTCATTTATAAAATAAATAGAATAGAAAATTTTTTCATTTATAAATAAATGAAATTAAAAATAAGTAACTGTGAAAAAAGAAAATTAATTCTCATCGAGACAATTATTGTTTAATAATGAATCTTTTATCGAACAAAAATTGTCAAATTTTAATCCAAGAACTTTCTGTATTTTTTTTTTCATTTGTAAAATGATCGCTCACATTAGCAAATTAAGAAATTTAATTTAATGAAAAAATGAAAAAAAAAATGAATGGTTGATTTTTTAGTTTAGAAAAAAAAAGAAATTAAAAATATGTAAATTTTGTTTGGAAAAAAAAACGAAAGAAATGGCAGAAAGAATTATAAGAAAGAATGTGCGACCTGTTTTCATTTCATTTCATTTTATTTATTTTATTTTATTTTTTTTTTTTGCAAAACAAAATGACATTAAAATGATTTCTGATTATTCTCAAAAAAAAAAAAGAAAATTCATTCTTTCTAACCAATTGGATTTTCTTTCGTTTTTTTTTTCTTTCTTTTTCTTCTTTTCCACTTTTTTTTTTTTTTTAATTTTACTGTAAAACCAATAATTACTAATAATTATCAAAATTAAAGTTAAAAAATATTTCGAACAATAATAATAATAAAAATAAAATTTGATGTTTTCAGTTTAAAGGATTTTTCTTTTCTCTTTTGTTATTTCTTTTAGCTTCTAATCATAATTGAAAAATGAATAAATTATTTTATTCAAAAATTAATTTACGCATATTTTTTTGCCCTAAGCATTTGTATTATTTAAAAAAAAATTTTTTTTTTCTAATTCACAAACATTTAAATGTGTGATAAAAAATATGTAAAAAAAAAAATTTAGAAAATTGGAGGTAATAATTGAGAGATTAGCGAATTTAAAAATAAAATGAAAGATTCTAGGTGCAGAAAATGAGTAATAATAAGCTTAAAAATAAATTTTAGTCAAACTTACAAAACAAAAAAAATTTTAGTCACAAATAAATTTTAGTCAATAAGTAATAATAACAAACAAACTTTCAACTAGAAAATATGAAATATTAAATTTCATTATTAATATAGAAATTAACAAATATTATATATTTTATTTGTGAATGAAAAAATTACCCTCAATTAATATAATTAAATTATAATTGTACTACTAAAAATGAAAAAAAAAAATCAAAAAATAGAAATTAAAGTTTATAATTATTTAGTTTAACTTAAAATTTTTACTAAAATCATTGCTAATGCAAAATTAATTGTCAATATCATATATCATATAAATAAACAATTTATAAAATGATTGCAATGATGATAATAAATATGCATAAACAATTCATAAAATGATAACAGTGATGATAACAGATAAATAAATAAAACAAAGCAAAGCAATGCAAAACAAAAAAATAAACAAACAAACAAATAAACAAATAAACAAGGAAATAATCAGTAAACGTAAATTTACATGATATTTTTGAAGAGGGAAGGAAAAGTGATAGGAAATATGTACTCCATCGAACAATCATTCCTTTCTTTTTCCACCATCCTTTTCCAAGGTCTTTTTTTTTCTTAAATGAGAAGAAAGAGAGAGAGAGAGGGAAAGAAGAGAGAGGGAGAGGGAGAGAGAGGAAAGGGAGAAATAAGGATGAAATGAGAGAAAGGAAGATGAAAGGAATGTGAAAATGTGTTAAAGGGATGGGTTATAGCATGAATCATTTTTGGAATTTTAGAAAAGTTCAGACGAGAAGATAAACAGAAAAAAAGTGGAGAGAAGTGTTATGTATCATGAAGTGCTACCCCCTTAAAGAGAGAGAGAGAAAGAGAGAGAGAGAGAGAGAGAGGGAGAGAGAGAAAAGAAATGATAATTTGAGGACTTTTTTAATGAAATGTTCAAAATAAATTATCCATAGGAATTATTATTGGAAAAAGATAAAAGTTAATTTCATTGTTAATATGTAAATGTAAATATTTTGAAATGATTTGGATTATTTATTATTAAATTTTAATAAAAATAATTGTTTTTTTTTTTTTTAATTTCATTTATTTTTTTAAATTAGATATTAAAAATAATTTCGATAATAATGAAATAATTTAACTAAATAATTCCATTATAATATAATTTGTTTTATATAATTGAAAAAGTATTAGAAAATGAAATTAGATATTAAAATTATTACTATTAAAAAAAAAAAAAATTATAATTATAACAAATTATTAATATTATATTTTAACAAAAGACAAATTATTTTTGATTGAAGTGAAAAAATTTCAAATAATTTTTTTTTTTTTTTTTGCATTTTTTGAGATAATTTGACTATTTAAATACTCCATGAATGTCATCAATTTTTACCATTTTTTTTTTTTCACAATAAAAATATAATTTGGATAGTTTAATTTGACAGTTAAAAATTGTCAAAAAGATAATTAATTTTAAGTTAATAATTATTTGACTAATTTCATTTTAACTATCTTAATTTCTTCTTTTTCTTTTTTTTTAGAAAAAAAAAATATTGATTTCTAATAACATCAAATGAGAAATTAATGATGGCATGTCCTTCATACAGATGACAAAAAGAAAATAAAAAAAAAAATTAAAATTGAAATTTTTACTATTCATCAAATTTCAAAACAACATTTTACAGGAATGTACCAATCTTACATTTTTGCTTTCTTTTTTTTT